AGTAGTCAGATTCATGCCTTTTAAATTTAATTAATTAAAAAATCAATTAATTTAATTTTTAATTGACTGCAGCAGTCTAGGAGTCGAGCTGGTCCTGAAGGGTGCTAAGCTGATCTGAGCTGGTGAGACAGAGAGGCTAACTGATATAAAGGAGGCTTCAGTGCAGCTGCTTTAGTCCTGAGTCCCCAAACAATGCCCAGAGTAGCAAGAAGAGGGATGAGTTGGGTGGTCCATGGCCCATTAATTCTCTTTTAGAGGTCATCCAGACTGCTTTTTAGGGGTTTGGGGGTGTCGATCTCTCAGCAACTGCTTCAGAGCTGACAGAAGGGTGACAAGGGGACCAGCAGTTAGAGTGTCTCAGAAGAGGGCCCATCCAAGGGCCTCTTAAAACTTAACATCAGTCAGGAGATAATAACTGTACAACTGTGTGAGGAACTTTAAGAGACAAAGGTGCATGAGGAAAAGTTTTACATCAAGATTAACATGAGCTAAATGCCATTGTACAGCTGGCTGGACCATGTACCAGAGTTCTGTAGCAGGAAAGGGTAACGAATTAGCTTTTTGTTACATCAGACTCCTGCATAAGGGACAAGCACCTGGAAGCCTTGTAAAAGAAGTCAGTTAAAGTCACCATCTGGGGAATGAATCTGAACAGAAAGTGTCTGAGGCAGGCACCACCACTGCCTGGCCGATTTTTAATTTTCAAATTAAAAAATATACTTCATTCTAGTGACAGCGTCTGCCTTGTCAAGAGTAAATGATTCAGTTTACAAAGTTTTCTAAAATTAACCCTACCAACAGAACCTTTAAAAAAATCTCTACCTTCTCATTCCATATACTCAGCCAACAGATGAAAGATGAAAGCCGTCATGTCAAGTCTGTAATAAATAATTTAATTTACACCTCTTCGCTCCTTCTGCTTTTGGACAAATCTCTGGGTCACCACACACTGACAGTAACAAGCATATTTCTTAACATTATTCTATTTAAAATTAAATTGGTGGTCTAGAGGCATAATTTATAAAGCAAGATAACCAAATTAAATAAGATTTATCAAACATCGGCTTTTGGGATTTCTTAGGAAACACCCACAAGCATCACTGCTGAAGCTCCTGTACTCCTTAAGGCTCCATGGTAAGAACACAGGCACTGGTCCTGGAGCTCTCCATCTGGGTAGAGACTAAGTTATAGTCTCAGAGTAACACAGGTGAGCCCAGGTTGGAGATTCTCCTTCATCTGAGTCAATGGTTCTCAACCTTCCTAGTGCTGCAACCTTTTAATACAGTTCCTCATGTTGTGGTGACCCCCACCCATAAATTTGTTTCATTGCTACTTCATAACTGTTAAATTTTCTATTGTGAATCATAATGTAAATATCTGATAAGCAGTGTGGGAAGCTGTCTTTGTGGGACTATAGTCGGATCCAGATGACTTCCTGGTTTGTACCTGAGGGGGGAGTATGAATTGAGAAAGAGCAGGTAAAGACATTTAAGAAAAAGACAGAGACATAGGATAGAGTCAGGAGGGCAATTCAGTGAATACTGAATGCCCCAAGTTTATTCTTCACCATTCTTAAATACCTTAACCAAAAAATGGGAACTTGATATCATGCATATGGAATAGACTTTTTTCATCAATTCTCCAAGGATTTGGTAGCCATACCTTAGATTCAATTTCTCATTATCTGGCCTCGAGAGTCAAGAGTAACCACACCTCAAGCTGGGCGTTGGTGGCAAACGTCTTTAATCCCAGCAACTGGGGAGGCAGAGGCAGGCGGATCTCTGTAGGTTCGAGGCCAGCCTGGTCTCCAGAGTGAGTGCCAGGATAGGCTCCAAAGCTACACAGAGAACCCCTGTCTCAAAAAACAAAACAAAACAAAAAAAGAGTAACCACCACACCTCATACCAAGTCTGTTGTTATTTAGATAAGACACCCAAGGCCAACCAAGGCCAAGATCAAAACATCCTACTGTAGCCATGCCTTAGACCTTTAGGTGTTATGACTTACTAAGGGCAGTTTTGAACTCTCTGACCTTGGGCCAAGATGAAGCGGAGCTATCTTTGTGGGTCCTGATAAAGCAAGATATATGATATGGGACCACATAGGGGTTACGACCCACAAGTTGAGAACCGTTGACTTAATAGAATCATTTGTTGACTCTACAGATATAAAACAACCTGCAAAGACAGGCAGAAAGAAAGAGAGGCTTGATCTAACCTTAGGTGTGACCATAGTTATCCACAGCAAGGGGCCATCTTTGTTACCCATGTGTGCAGATGGCCAAAATGCCCACAGAAGAAAATGGGGAGCAGTCTCTTTTAGGGACAGAAATGAATCCCATAGTCCACAAGGGGAACTGGGAAATGTAGTCTTTCAGCAGGAAACTCTCAAAGTACAGTTGCTGAAGAATGTGTTAAACATCAGGACAAGACACACTTGAAGAGAACCAAGTGTGGTCATTTGGAGAGGAATGCCCCAAGTGCATTGAGCGGCAGCCATCCAGATGATCTGATGACTTTGAAGTAGGCAGTTTATAACCAAGATTGGGAGCAGAAATGCATTATACTCATTACCGTATTGAAAGAAATGTTTGTAAGTGAAATTATAAGGTGATTTAGGAAGCATTACCGTACTGGCTTAACTATGTAGTTAAGACATTATAGATTAAAATACATAAAAAATAACTGAACCAGTTGATGCCAGTCTGTAATCCCAGCTCTTTGGGAAGCTGAGGCAGGACGACCATAAGTTCAAGGACTGTCTGAGCTACAGAGTAAGACCAGTTCTGAAAACTTTGTGAGACCCTATCTCAAAAAGTTAAAAGAAGAGGCTGGGGAGATGGCTCCATGGTTAAGAGCAATGTTGCAGAAGACCCAGGCTCCAATTCAAATCACCTACATGGTGGGTCACAGTCATTCATATCTCTGGTTCCAGGGAATCCAACAACCTTTCCTGATCTCCCTGGGCACCAGGCACACACATGGCACACACCAGGCACATACACAAGTACAGGCAAAACACTCACAAAAAAAAAAAAAAAAAAACTAAATCTTTTTAAAAAGTGAAACAATGTTTGGGATACAGCTTAGACTGGACTTACACTCTTTTCCTTGCCAATTGCAAATTTTTCCTATTTTTTCTGCTCCACCTTTTCTTTCGCTATAAGTCTATGTAAATGCATTGAGCAATGAACTTTCCACAGCTCCAATATTGTACTGTCTTGATATTTCTTCCACTAAAGCAATTAGTCCATTACTTTTGAACTTGGCCTCACTCAAGTTTTCAGAATATGAGAAAAAATGTGGCTAGATTCTTCACCAGAATGAAATGTGAGCAGCCTCCAGTCCAGTTCCTGATAGAGTCCTGTTCTCCTCTGAAACCCCTAAGCTTTTATTCTCTATATTTCAGTTCACATTCTGATCCTCCTCAAACCCACCAGCATGGCCTGTTAAGCTCTGCTTATAGCATTCAAGGGTTTCAATAGCTCACAGTTGCAAACTCTTCTGTATTTCCCCTACACACTAGTTCAGGAGGCCTCCTATGAACTGTATAATCAGGTTTGCCACAGCAACGATTCTAGTTTCTATATCAATTTTCTTAGTTACTTTTCTCAGAGCTGTGAACAACTATTTGACAAGAGGCAACATAAGGAAGGTTTCAGTTGGGCTAAAAATTTAAATGGCACACAGTCCATCATGATGGCAAAGACATTGCAGAGGATAATCCATGGCAGTGGAGAGCAACTTCCTGCTCGTATCTCCAGCAGAGCAGAAAACAGAGAGAGGCTTAGGCCAGAACCATGTGTAGGCTGTAAATCCAACCCCGATGACCTACTTCCCCCAGCCAGACCTTCATTCTTAAAGGTCCCACAGCCTACCAAAACAGTGCCACCAGCTGGTGACCAAATATTCAAACACATGAGCATGAAGGGACATTTCACATTCAGATGACAGCATATGGGAAGCATATGGGTTGACATAATATGGCAGCCATCTCTGGGAACATGCCTCAAAAACCTATTAACCCACATGAAACAGAGTCGGGTGGAAGAGGGCCTTGTGAATTCTGAAACGAAGCTTGCAAACAAGGACAGAGATGACTCTAGGGAAAGTTGGGAGTAGAGCCTGAGACTCAAGAACAGCTGTCAGTCAACAATACAGGGTTGAAAGGTTATTAGGGCATTGTTTTCATGGAAATAGGCAAGTGAATGCATTAATGAGTGTTTTTTAGCAAAGTCTTATTAATTCAGGTACAAGTTTTATTTGCCTTTATGATGAAAGTGTGGAGGTGGGAGGAGATAAGAAGATAACCACAAAAAGGGAAGAGGGGCAAGAAGGGTGGGGAGAGGCTAAAAACCCCATTTCCCAGGGTGGAGGTGCAGTGTATTGATTGGAGCCTTGCCTAGCATGCTTGAGGCACTGGGGTCAATGCTGGCAGCACGCACACATACACACACATTCCCATTTCCCTTGTGAAAACAGATAGTGGGCCTGATGATGATGTGACAGGGCTGCATCACCCCGACTAAGTTGTAACACTTCTATAAGATCTCCTCCTTCGGATGGATATTGGACGGTATCTATCATGGCTTCGTCTTCTCTTTGAAGCTATAATCACAGTTGGTGCCAGCTCTGTCAGAATTTTAGCCAGGACTGGTGAAACAAATTTAATGACATATCCTGACTAGAGCTTGGGAGGTCAGGATGGCACTTGCAATAAAATTAGTAGCCACAGACACCGGGAGGAGACGGAATGAGAACAGAGCAGTGAGGTGTTTTTATTCCTTTACGACGATAAAACAGTCTTCCCTCCACAGAGAAGGGCGGGTAGAAGAGCGAGCAGGTGTGCACTGCTTCTGCAGGTGTGTGTACTCAGAGTCAGGAACATAACCCCTGGTAGGAATGCCTGGCACTCAAGAGGTGTGCAACCAAGGACAGTACAGAAGCATTCTGGAGACATGTCTCAGCCAATAGACTATTTTCTATTGAAAGCCAACTCTAGTGCTTGCTTCAGCAGCACATATACTAAAATTGGAACAATACAGAGAAGATTATGACTCCTGAACAGGGTGACATTTCCTACTTATTGTTTACACCCATTTACCCTTGTGGGGAAAAACAGAAGGTTTTCCTTGCAAAGAATGAGTTGCAGAAGAAACAAAGGTAGTTGCCATGTTAGAGTTCTGCAGGGATATGAGAAAGAGCCTAAGTGGAAGCCAAGACTTTGCTGCCCCACAGAAAGGCTCACAGGAGTATGTCACTTCCCCAGGTTTTGGTTAGAACTCCCCAGAGCTCCATAGGAGGGACAGTGTCTTAAGGAGGGGTAATGTGACCCTTGTTATCTTCACTGACTCATTATAAAAGCAAGTGGATGCTAGAAAAGCCTCTCAACTTTTCCCCAGGGCAGCTATGTTATCTGCTCACTTATCCAAAATTTTATCTGTTGTAATTCCCTAAATTGAGTTTTCTGGAAGTAAAAATTAATAAATAAAATAAAATAAAAAAGGAAGAAAGAAAAGTAATTACCCAGTTTGGAAATCAGAATACCCAGGGCTCTTGCTCAGCACAGTAAAGTCAGAGTAATTCTTTGCCTTGGCTTCACCACCATAAACAAAAAGATGATAAGGAGAGGGCCTGGGGACTTTTAAAAGTTCTTCCTATCCTACTACCTTCTAATTTTTAAGAAAGAAAAGCCAATCATTTCTGGAAAGAGTTGGGTACTCTACCTTCTCCAGGATGTATATGGAAACAGCCTGTATGGGTTTATTTTATTCCTTTGAGAATCTCATGCATTCAAGCATGTATCTTTTCATATCACTCCCCTCCAGAGACAAAGTAGCAAGCACAAATATTATGAGTCCAGTGCCATCTGGTGCACTTTGAGACCATGACATGCTGGTTGGTATGCTCTCCCTACAGCTTACCATCTGGTGGTGCATAGAAATAGAGTATGAGAGTATAATAACAGCATTAAACTGATACTAAATGCATGCTGCATATTTATAATAATGTTACTTACAACCTGCTATTTTAGTAAAAATTGGCAAACACAAAGTTATATTAAATATAAAGCCAAAACCAAAGGTAAAATGCCCTCCCCCTCTCTCCTTCTCTCCCTCCTTCTCCCCTGACCTTTCTCTCTTTCTGTATGTGTGTGTGTGCATTTGCTTGCATATATATATATATACTTTGAAATTGTATTCTACCAATATATAAAGGGTAAATCAAAATTCTTGACCTTGTCTGTTCAAATTATTGTGTTCTTGTAGTTTGTTTTGATTTTGTTTGCTTTTTTGTTTATTTTTAAGATAGAATCTCACTATGTAGCCCTGACTGTCCTGGAACTCATCATGTAGACCAGGCTGGCCTTAAACTCACAGAGATCTGCTTGCCCCAGCTTCCTAGATGCTTGGATTAAACCCATGCCCTACCGTGACCAATTTACATTCTGTGGTTTTTGTTGCCTGGCAAACCCTTCTCATCTAAGAAAATTGAATTTTAAAGTGAAGGTAATGAAACTTATGCAAGATATTTATGTAATAAATATGTCATGGAATGTTGAATAAATTATGGAAGATAATGTTTATCATGAAGGAATTATTTAAAAGCAAAACAAGCCAGGTAGGTGGTGGTGCCTCATGCCTTTAATCCCAGCACTCAGGAGGCAGAGGCAGGCATATCTCTGTGAGTTCAAGACCAGACTGGTCTACAGGGTAAGTTCCAGGGCAGGTTTCAAAGCTACACAGAGAAAACCTGTTTCAAAATAGGAAAGAAAGAAAGAAAGAAAGAAAGAAAGAAAGAAAGAAAGAAAGAAAGAAAGAAAGAGAGAAAGAGAGAGAGAAAGAAAGTGAGAAAGAAAGAAAGAGAGAAAGAGAGAAAGAAAGAAAGAAAGTGAGAAAGAAAATCAGAAATCTTATTGAATATACTGCAGAAAACTAAAGATCTAAATAAAAGATATAAACAAAAATTTTGAATAGTCACAGTCCAGAAGAGTATATTAGTGATGGAATCTAGAATAAAGGTTGTCCCATATCTATAAAAACAAAAAGGACCAAAAGATAAGACTACAAGAGCCAAAATGAGTAATAAACATGAGAAGGTACCAGCTCCACTAACTAAACCAATCACTAGAGAAATTCGAGCAAATACCATACAGCAACCTTATAGCATACTCATTGAATTATTTTTATTAAAAAAATAAAAACCAAATGACTGCTGACCCAAGCATTTTCATGGCAGGATCTACTACAGTGGGAGTAAACAGGTAGACTGAGAGGCAAAGAAATTTGTCCATCTTCTATGCCCTTTAGTTCAGATAAACACTCCCCTGGTAATCTAGAATAGTTATTTGTCTCCAGGTGGGTTGTGATTTGAAATAATGATCTTTGAGTAATTGAGTAATCCAAGATAAGACAAGGCAGAGAGAGGGACAGAGAGGCAGAAACCGAGAGACAGAAACACAGTGAACTGTCTCCTCCACACATCCTACCACTATGACCCTGCTCTTCCTCACCATGGGCAGAGTCAATGGCACAAAGAGCTCTGAAGCCATGAGCCAAATAAATATTTCATCATTCAAATTTTAATCTCAACTATTCAGGTCACCACCACACAGAAGCAAATGGTACAACAAGTAAGTATCTACACTCCAATATTACTGTGAGTATATAGAATGCCAAAGAAACACAATTTTCCTTCAAGGAATGATACTTTAACATACAACTTCTCAATAACAATAGAAAAACAAGTCATGTAATGTTATTTGAGAAAATAACCTAGGCTTTGGGGTCAGTAAGCAACCGATCAAGCATAAGAATGAGAGAAAATTCCTTTTCATGCAAATAAAAACTGACCCTATTCACTGGCAACAAATCCTTACTTAAATATACTTCTTAAGGATGCCCCTGAAGAAGAAAACTTATCCTAGGTGAAAGGTATAGAATACAAGGAAGAATTTTTAAAAAGTAACCAACATGTCAGTATATTCTAGCAGATATAATAAAACTAGACAACCTAAAAATAAATTATTTCTTAAACTGGTTGGAAGGTACATGGGCATTTGTACTTTTATTCTTCGCTTCCTTATTTTTAAGGATAAAACAAAGAAATAATTTTTTTCTTTTTTTTCTCTCTTTTTATTATTATTAACTCAAGTTAGGGAACAAGCTTGTTTCACATGTACTTCCCCTCTCCCTCTCCCTCTCCCTCCCCTTACCCCCATTCCTTCTCCCCCACCTCCAACCTACCCCCCACCCCATCCACCCACCACTCCCCAGGCAGGGTAGGGCCCCCAACCAGGGCTCCACCAAGTCCACCAAATCTTCCTTTGCTGGGCCTGGGTCCCTCCCCATGTGTTCAGAGACAGAGTGCATCCCTTCAAGTGGGATGGGCTCTCGAAGTCCCCCACATACACCAGGGCAAAAAGCCAGTCCACCTCCGGAGGCTCCCAGGAGTGCAGGGGCCTCCCAGATGGCATCCATGATCAGGGGGCTGGATTAGTCCCATACTGGCCTCCCAAAGAGCGTCTGGGGTCGATATGCTTTCCCTTTTTCAGGCCAACTGTTTATGTGGGTTTCTCCAACCTGGTACAGACCCCTTCGTTCTCAAAGAAATAATTTTAATAGCAGAGGGAAGAGAGTTCCAGGCAGAAGTTCCTGAGGCTAGAAAGAACTTGATTTACTATTGTGGGATAGCTGTACACTGTGTGAAGATGTATTGCTGTGACTGGTGTAATAAAGAACTGAATAGTCAATAGCTAGGCAGGAGGTATCAGCGAGACCTCCAAACAGAGAACTCTAGGAAGAAGAAAGGCAGAGTGTCAGCCAGACATGGAGAAGAAACAGGAGGTGCAAGATGGAAGAGAGGTAGTACCAAGTGGCAGAATGCAGATTTTAAAACATGGCTTAATTTAAGTTTTAAGAACTAGTTAAGTACAAGCCTAAACTAAGATCAAGGTTTTATAAATAATAATAAGTTTCTGTGTCATTATTTGTGAGCTGGTGGCCCAAAGAAAGATCTGAAGACAATCTACCTACCAAACTGAGAAGGACAGTATGTCTGGGGAAATGAGACTAGAGAGAAAAGCAGAGCCAAATTTGTAAGATTTTATCACAGTTATTGGCAATAAACAGTTCCAAACAAAAGATCTAACCATTGTAGATTAACTTAAGACGACAAATCTGTTGTACTTGTGCATTCTTTTTAATACTAAGTGCCTACTATTAGTGTCTAAATTCATACCACTGTAGTCTTCACTAGTCCTAATTTATCCGAGATTATTCAGCTTCTGAGATTGCCAAAGGCCTGATGATAGAGATACCACTGATATTCAGAAGTACCTCTACACTGTACCACCTCAGAGATTCATATTTTGGTCAAAATGAATCTCTATGCAATGATATTGGTATTATTCAAATTATACCACAAGAATTGAATAGTGGTGTGTGCCTGTTAGTTACTCCAACAGGTGTGGAAGCTCAGATAAGAGATCACCTGAGTTCAGAAGTTTGCAACCAGCCTGGGAAACGTAGCGAGACTCTGACTCAAAAAGCAAACTAATAACGATACCTAGAGGAAAAGACATTTATGTGCTGAAGCGGTGGTCAGCATGGGGTTCTAAAGCTCTAAAACAACCTACAAAGACTGCAAAGACACCAGTTGATAAAGAGGAAGGGGTGGATGTTTCAGATGGGGGCAAAGAGACAAAACTTGTTTGTGTTTTTGTTTTTCAAGACAGGATTTCTCTGTATTGCTTTAGAGGCTGTCCTGGAACTTGTTCTGTAGACCACCAGGCTGGCATCGATCTCACAGAGAACCGCCTGCCTCTGCCTCCCGAGTGTTGGGATTAAAGGCATGCACCACCAATGTCTGGCCAAACTTTTTTTTAAGGTAAGAATAATCAACATGTTGCACAAGACTACTACCTTGATTAGTATTAGGAAGCACCTTAAGTTCAAAAACTACTGGATGGGTGAATGGAGAAAGATTTAAGTGTCCATATTTCTTCCTTTAGGTAGCAAGGGATAAGCATTTTTCAGTAGGACTATGCCTTTAATTTTTTAAATCAGTCCATCATAAAACTTCTCAATTAGTAAAAAGTTGGCT